GTGGCCTTGAGAATCTAAGAGGCTAAATAGTGGTTCCCCAAAGATCCTGATGTTACACTCTGTGGAACCTGTGCTGTGATACTTAACATGGCAAAAGGGATTTTGTACATGTGATTTATATGAAAGCTTTTGAGATGGGGAGTTTATCCTAAATTATCCAGGAGGTCCTGTGTGATCATAAGGATCTTTACAGAAGGACAATGTAGGGTCATATCAGAGAACACCAAGTGGTCATAGAAGGGAGTGTCATGGTGGAAACAGTATGAAGCCGTGGGTGTGGATAGCCTATTGAAGATGGGAAAGGGGAGAGACTCCAGCATAAATTATACTCTGGTCAGATGTACATTTTTTAAAAGTTCACTGAGTGATTTTCGACTTGGGACTCTAGAACTGTAAGATAATTTGCAGCGAGAGGAAATATTCAAAGGGTGTGGCTGTATGAGAATGTAGACTTAGAGTCAAAATGAGACATTTGGGCATGAGGAAATAGATGATTTCTAGTTTGGATAAATGGCCAGAGAATAGTGAAATTAAACATAGAGAATGGCAAGGAGTAGCTGTTAGAGGAAGACATATCCACTTTTCATGTTTTAATTTCAGACCCTGTTGGCCATGATGGAAACACAAGTGATTGATTGACTGATTGATTGATTGCTGGGGAATTGAACTCAGGGCTACATCCTCAGCCCTTTTTATTATTAAATTTTGAGACAGGGGCTCTCCAAATCACTGAGTTATGCAGGCTGGGCTTGAACTTGAAATTCCTCTACTTCAGCTTCCCAAGGTACCATATGGGTGACCATTTCTGGAGGGAATAGTATTTTGGTTATACAAATATGGATTAGATAAGGTGGAAGAAGGTTTAAAACAAAGAGTTGCATTTATGAGGCTACCACAGCGCTATTACATACAGTTAATAGGGCTGTTATAATCACATTACATGGCAGTCCATAATAGCAGTTTTATGTACAAAGGCAGTGAAAGAGATGATTGGGAAAAATAAGTTTTTGAAAAAATAATACCACCTTATGTTTTGTAGTTCTTTGAATTTGGTAAGCATTTTCATATCCTTTTAAGGGGGTCAGTAATTTTTGAAATGGACACAGCTGCTATTGGAATGTGGTTTAAGTAGGGTACAAAAAATTAGGATAAAATGTGCTATGACTAGTGTCTACTGTATTGAATATCATGTGTAGACTATTTCTACCGTTCTAGAAAGTTCTATTGGATGATATTCTTTTGTAGTATTTTATATAATGTGGGGCTGAATTTTATTATAGGAAGCTACAAATTTGACTTCAGGATCTAACAGTTTTGGGATTAAGATCTGGTACATGGGGAAATCAGTCGAGGTTCTGAAAGGAAATTGAATGCAATTTAGATGGTTCAAGAGACTTTAATGAAGGGACTGCAAAAGTTGGGAGGATTATGAGAACTCACAGGGATGTTTTCTCACTGGTTCCAGGGAACTCTAAAGAGGTGAGAGAAGTAGTATGCTGTTGGAGCCAGTGAATGCTGTGGAGAATCTGATGCCTGACAGGAGCCAGGGTGGTGGGGTACACAGCTTCTGCCAGGGCTTGTGTTTGCTAATTAGGTGTAGTTCCCAGAAGACCTGGAGTCCTGGAAAGATTGTGTGGTACACTCAGGTGAACAGAAAACCATGCTTTCTCTCCAACAGACGCAAATTAGCCTAATTAACAGTGAGCACTAGCAGTTGTGTTTTAACTGTCATCATACTTTGGAGTTGTGTGCATTTAGGAAAATCTTTTAGAAACATAAGATGGTCTCTTAGCTTTAAAGGTCCTATAATCTCTTAAAAACAAAAAAGACAAGAAATAGTATGTGTTCATTGGATTTAGCAATATTAGAAATATTAGAAAAACTTTTTTGCTGTTCTTTTTTTGGGACAGGGTCTTACTGTATAGTCCAGGTTGGTCACCAACTCACCATTATCCTCCTGCCTCAGCCTCCCCAGTGCTGGGATTTAGAAAAACATTTTAAAAAGAATTTTATCTGTAAGACAAGGCAGTTGGACTTGGTACCTAACCTCATACATTCTTTTATTAAAATATTATCATGGTAAGGGCCAAGAATATAGCTCAGTGGTACAAGCACCAGCCTGGCAGGTGCAGGGTCCTGAGTTGGGTTCCCTGTACCAAAAACAAACAAACAAAAACAGAAACATTATCATGGTGCAATTTGTTGTATAGTTTCAGAGATGCACTTCTCTCTTTGCAACTTTGCATGGCTAAAGCATTAAATGAGTAAAAATGTCCCTTTTTTTTTTTTTTTTTTTTTTTTTTAAATGAGATAGGATCTCCCTGTAGTCCAAGCTGGCCTCCAGTTTGTAGTGATCCTCCTGCCTCAGCCTCTCGCATGCTAGGATTGCAGGCATGTGCTACCACACCTAGCAAAAATGTCCTAATTTTAAGTTTTGTTTTTATACTTAATTTTAGGTTCCAAACCATGTTTGTTATAAATAGTAAACATATTGTTGGGATTTACTAGCAACTTTGTAATGTCTGAGAGAATGTGAGTGTATTAAGACATAAAATAAATATGTTAAATAGAGGAGCTGGAGAGGAATGGAGGATGAATGTAGGAGAGCCTATTAGGTATAGGGATCAAATAGCATAACAGTGGCATTTCTGAAATAGTCTTTTTTACAGAAAAAAACATTTCTAGGTCTTTACTGATTGCTTCTTATTCAGATTCTGCCTGGGATAATTTAATAAACTGGAGGAAGTAATTTGTTAGAATTTTTCCTACTATCTTTGTGTGTTTTTCTTAAGGAAGATTTACTCATCATAATCCTCTGGTAAATATAATCTGTGTGCCTGTGTGAAACTGATAATCAGTCTTGCCATGGTATGGGAGAGTTCATTGGAGAAAAACTGCTTCCTAAGCCATTGTGCTGTTGGTTTGTGAGATGACAGTCTCTGTGCTTTTTCCTGCTGCTCATCAAGAGTTGATCAGGGAAATAAACAGGAATTCAGATCAGACTTGTTTTAAAGTTCAACACAGTCTGAAGGGGGAGGAAATTAAAAAATATGGCCAGGTGTTTCATATTATAATACTTTTCTTTCTTATATTAAAGCTGTCCAAGTTATTTTACAATCATATTATCACTTCATATTTAGCCAAACATTTCACTTCCATGAATAAAATTGTAAGCCAGTTGATTGATAATTTTAATGATTGATATATATGAATATTTAATGATAAGCAAAAGTGAGACTAGAATTAGAATATTTTCTAAACTAGTGTTTCTGTTAGTCTAAAGTTTTTAAATATAAAGTATAGGGCTTGAATGGAACAGTAGCTCATTGTTGACACTATTTGGCTGTGTATATAATTGTTTTTGAAAGAATGAGGAAGAAGTTTAATTTGCATTTGAGTTTGTCCTAAAGGTAATTATTTTTTTTTTTCTGTTTTTTTTGGTTGTTTTTTTAAAACTGTTGACTTTTGAGATAGGGTCTGGCCAGGTAGTCCAGGATGGCCTTGAACTTGCTGAGACCCACCTGCCTCAGCCTCCTGAGAGTTGGGGTTATACATACGTATCACCATGCTCAGCATCGTTTTGCTTTTTGAACCCAGGGCCTTTAAACTGAGCTATATCTCCAACCCCTTTTCAATTTATTTTTGATTAATTAATTGATTACTGTTTTTGAGAAAGAGTCTCAATATATTGTTAAGTTGCGCAGGCAGGGCTTGAATCTTGTGATCCTCTTGCCTCAGCCTCTCAGTGCTGGGGTTACACACATGCATCACCATGCCCAGTTTTTGAAACAACTTTTTAAAAAGTGAATTGTACCATCATGATGAAGTAGTTCTGAGTTTTTGGTTTTTGTAATTTTACTGAGCCAGGAGCCTGAAACCCTCAGTTTTAGTTCACACTGTACTGTTATTTGTTGGTTTATCTGTTTATGGGAGTTACATTTCCTTTACTTCTGTGTGGTTTTCTCTTCTGAAAAATAGGAGTAATAATACTTTATGATTTTTATATTCTGCTATGGTAAAATAATCACTTGTCAAGCACTTTGAAGATTTAAATTTTATACACATATATGTGTATATAATTTTTTGCTATTTACTTATGAAAAGGCTGCTACTAGAGCTTCAGCTTGAGAATAGTTGTATAGTTGTTCCTTCATTATACTTCCTGTATGAAGTTAGACACACTCTAAGATTTTTTTTTTGGTGGTGGTGCTGGGGATGGAACCTAGAGCCTTTGTATACAAGTTGAGAAAGAACTCTACCACTGAGTCACATCCCCCACCCCATAAGATATTTTGTATGAGTGAAGTGGTTCTGCTTGTGTGTATTTTAATCAGCATGTGCAGACTTTTTTTTTTTTTTTTTTTTTGTCTTTTTGAGACAGGGTCTTGCTGTGCAGTTCAGGCTGGCCTGGAGCTCACTTTGTAGCCCAGGCTGGTTTTGAACTCTCAACGATCCTCCCACCTCAGCCTCCCTAGTGCTGAGATTACAGGCATGCGCCACCACGCCTGGCCAAAAAAAAATTGACTTTCTGAAATGAATCCTGATTTTATTTATTGCTTAATGGTTTTGTCCTTTTTACTCTGACCTCAGAGCCCTGAAGTTACGGGTGTGCTGAGCTGGAGGAACTCTCCCTGCTAGACTGCTCAGCCTGTGCTGTGCTCCAGCCATCACTACTGTCTCTGCCGCTTGTATTTTCTGAGACAGTGGTGATGCTTTGTCATGTGTTTCCTAATTGTTCCTACTGAGGGGTGCTGTCCTCTAACATCACTTTTGAGAATTTGTAAGTCAGAGAAAGATAGGGCAGACTATTTTGAAGAAAATGTAGCCATCAGATAATATTTTGCTTTAAAACTTTGTTTCTAAAAAGAAATTCCCCCCAAAGGTGCATGATGATTTTGAAATGAAGTGAATGTCTGTTTCATTTCACAGATTCCAGTTAGTACTCTGTACATTTTTGATTGAATTTTCCTGATTACTAAATCTTAATTATTTTTCACCAGACGCTCTGCCAAATCCCGAAGTAGAAGTCCATACTCATCTAGGCATTCAAGGTCTCGTAGCAGGCACAGATTGTCTAGATCCCGGAGTCGTCATTCTAGCATTTCTCCTAGCACACTGACTCTGAAGAGTAGCCTGGCTGCTGAGTTGAACAAGAATAAAAAAGCACGTGCTGCAGAGGCGGCACGAGCTGCAGAGGCAGCGAAAGCTGCAGAAGCGGCCAAGGCTGCAGAGGCAGCTGCGAAAGCTGCAAAAGCCTCCAACACCAATACATCTACACCAACCAAGGGGAACACTGAAACTGCAGCCAGCTCATCGCAAACCAACCATGTGAAGGATGTGAAGAAAGTTAAAACTGAGCATGCACCTTCTCCCTCAAGCGGTGGAACTTTAAAAAATGACAAGGCGAAAACAAAGCCACCTCTTCAGGTAACAAAGGTAGACAACAATTTGATTTTAGATAAAGCCACCAAGAAAACATCTGTAGTTGGGAAGGAGAGTAAATCTGCTGCTACAAAGGAGGAACCAGTATCTCTCAAAGAGAAAACCAAACCACTGACACCAAGCATCGGAGCCAAGGAAAAGGAGCAACATGTGACTTTAGTGACCTCTACCCTGCCACCATTACCTTTGCCTCCAATGCTGCCAGAAGATAAAGATGCCGATAGGTGAGTATACACAGGTGTCAGAAGCATTCAAAGAAAAAAATTGTTTAAGTGAGAAATAGTTTGATCTTCAGTTTCTCTCCCAAAAAGAGTAAAGAAGGCAATAAGTAAACGAATTTTATTTTGTAGATCATAGCATGAAGCACACTGCTTATAAGATGACAAAACTGACTTCTGTGCTGAACAATTTAGGGAAAATTTGCCCGTCTTGGGGTAGAATGCATATTTCCAGATGAATTGGTTTTAGAAGTGCCAGTATTTTCTTTGACTTTGTTTTCCTTGCAGATACTGTCACACCCATGTTATTCCATGAGAGCCTGCCCTGGTTGCTGTAAATTTCATAATCATATATGTCAGATATTTCTAAGTTTCTTTAGTGGCCTTACATATTTAAAATAAACAGTTTAATTTAGTCTTTTTTTAACTCTTATTTTAGCTTTTCTCACAAGTAGGGATTAGTCACATATTACAGAAAAACTCAAAGTGGTTGTGTTTTCCTTTAGTGTGCTTCAGATTTTCTGATAATATCGGGGACAATTTATTTTTTTATTTTGAAGAAGATGAAGATAAGTGTTGATGGTAAATGCCCCTAAGAACATTCCTTGGCTGAGTGGTATCATGTGCCTGTTACTGAAGCACTATGGAAAGCTGAAGTTTCTTTTATGTATCACAGAGTAGGATTTGCTGTTGTGTGATTTATCTACCTCTGATACCATTTAACCGTTCTTATTTTTTTTATGAAGAAACTAGAGTTGTTTTTCTCCTTACTTTCTATTAAAAAGTTATGTGGGCAGTTTTCTTAGCTGATTTCATTTATAGAATTTGCAAACAGCTGGACAAAAATGCTACTATGTCTTTCAGGTGCTCACTTTAGCTAGCATTATGAACAGTTTATATATTTTAAAACTGCAGAAGTTTAATCATGTTCCTGCACTCCCTGCACTCTGAGGCACTGCTCTAATTGTATTATTTGCAGATTGCACTGTTATCCAGGAACACTGATGGTTCCTAGCAGTGGACTTGTAGTTTTGATGGGTTTTGGATTGGGCTTCAGCACAGATGGGCCTGACTGCAGAACTGAGTCCTCAAGTGAGGAGTATGCACTTACTGGGGAGCCAGGGTCAGTGAGAAGGGTGGTTCTATACCTTATTTTCATTTCAGTTTAGGGACAGGTTTTTCCTTGGAATTTTTTGAAGAACGCAGTACATATAAACCTATGTGAGTGCTTAAGGAGGTACTCCTTTTGCATCTGCTGAAGTGGTGGCTTTGTCATTCTTTTTTTGAATGCAACTTTTCTGTCTCTTCTGTGTTTTGCCTTTCATTTGTCTCCTCTTTCTTTCAATCTGTTCCTGTGTTTCATGGATGTGGAATTTCCTTACAATTCCCGAGTACTACCACTAACATGTCTATGTGCTCAACGTTTGACTTGGCATCAGAGGACCTTTATTTCAGTGCTTATGATTTACCTACAAAGTTTAATTGTGTAAAAGAGAGACATTAGTTTTTCTTCTTAAAACAAGTTTTATGTGATTAAAGTAAGGTATATTGTGAAAAAGTGAAAGGTCAAAGTGATCACTTTTGGAAATAAATGTCCTATCTTATTTTTTATTTATTTCTTTTGCTGTTAGGAGAATTGCAATAAAATTTGTTGTAGGCTGTAGAATGTTTAGTTTTTAGTCCAGTTTTACCTCAGTACAGTTATATCAGCTTCATCAAGTTTAGTTCTATCCAGGGATGAAAATATTTACCATTTAACCTCACAGATTACTTGTAAGATTAAATGGGTTGATGGAAAGAATTTTGCAAACTGTAGAGTCCAGTCATCTTAGATATTGTATAAATCAGTCCTATAGGAAACATAATCTCCGTTAGATTAGTGTTTTAGTGAAAATGACTATTATTGTATTTTATAACATAGTGCAGTCGACCTAGTACTTTCTTATAGCTGTTATTTTGAGACAGGGTCTCACTATGTAGCCTAGACTGGCCTTGGATTTACTGTGTAGCACAACCTGGTCTCACACTTGAGGTCCTCCTGCTTCATCATCCTGAATGCTGGAATTATAGGTATGTGTTGCCATGCCTGGCTAGATCTTGTACTTTGTTGTTACTGGATTTTTTGTTTTGTTTGCTTTTTTGTTTTTTGATATTGGATCTCCTTTGAACTAACAGGCGTAGGCTACTCAGGCTGCCCTTGAATTCACAGTGACCCCCAGCTTCAGTGTCCCAGAGTGGTGGGATTGTAGGCATGTGCCACCACCCAGGGCAAGTGCTTTGTTTGAAAAGGATCCATTTGGTAAAAGAGAAATTGTGGGTTTTAATCCTCCCACCTATCTGACCTACCTTTTCTTGTTGCTGTTGATCATGTACCTTAAAGTAATGGTCATGGTAATTCCATATTTAAAAGTTTCTTTTCCATTACTGGCACAACATAACCAACTCCCACAGCATAAAGGGAAGAGAGATTTGTTTTGGCTCACAGTTTTTAGAGGATTTAGTCCATGATTGGGTTGGCTGTAAGGAAGAATGACAGTAAAAGGACATGGTGGGGGAAGGTGCTCAGCTCCTTAGGACAGCAGGAAAAAGGGGTGGGGGAGAGGGGGATGGGGAGAAAGAGAGAAAAATTTGTTTAAAACATTAGAGACTTTTAGGGTATATTTTAGGTAAACCATAGCAGACACTTGTATACTTTTTCTTTTTTTTTTTGGTGGTGGTAGTGGTGTTACTGGGGATTGAACTCAGCATCTTCACACTGATCTACACCCCCAGCTTTTATTTTCTCTCTTTTTTTTTTTTTTAATGTGAGAGGATCTTGCTAAGTTACCCAGGCTGGGCACTAATTTGGGGTCTCTTGCCTCACCCTTCCAGAGTGCTGGGGTTACCGGTGCGTACCACCATGCCCAGCTTTGTGTACTTTTTCTTTTGTGCTGAATGACTATTTAGTTGAAAATGGTTAGCAAACTGTTTCTCATTCTTTTGTGTTATGCTTTATGAAACCCAAATTTTTATTTACTTGGCATTCACTATAAATTTGAAAGTCACTTTAAAAGAAGATTAATGGTCTAGATAATCTTATTAGCCATTATTTTAAGGAAAACTATTCATCTTTACTTCCTTTAAGCATGCCTCTACCTACTCTTGATCGACTATAATTGTTCTGTCCCCATATAAATTAACAGAGGATTGTGTGTGTCTTTATGTGACCTCTTGATTCTGCAACTCTCTACTCCATTAGTTGTTACACTTTTTTGTTCACATTCAGGCATTTAGAAAAGTTGAAAAAATACTAGTAGACTCAACATCTATATTACCTTTATCTGGATTTAGCAAGTGCATTAACATTTTGCTCAGTATGTTAGTACCTTTCTCTCCCCCTCCGCCTTCCCTCTTTCAAGGGAATAGGGGAAGATGAATGTGGGTATATACTTTTTGCTGTACTACTGTATTTGAAAATGAGAGTAGCTATTGTGATAGTTTACTCTGAGGTATTTCATTTATCTTCCAAGAATAAGGCCAGGTTCCTGTTTGGTCATGGTACTGTCTGTGTGGATAATTAAGACTTGCATAGCATCACCTCCTGTCCATATCTACATTTGCCCAGTGCCCCTCTTTCCTATGACTTTGAAGAATCCAAGTCAGTAATGTGATACAGTGTCACACTTCTGGATTTATCTGTAAGTTTCTTGCTGACATTCAGCTTGTTTGTCTGTAACTCTTTCATTTCCTATAGATGGGCAATTAATTGGGCCTTGAACAGATCAAGAATAGGTTTTTGGTCTCATTGTTTAGGAGGTGATTTTATGTGCTTAATGCTGTCACAACAAGAGGAACAAAATGTTAAATTGCTTTATTTTAGTAACCCTGATGCAATTACTTCGTTAATGTGATGACTGACCTTAAGATCTGCTGATATATAAGGTACATTTTCCCCTTTGCAAATAGAAGTAAACTGTAGGTTAACATTTTGGTAGTGTTTGGCTATCCTGTCCCCACCAGTAGATCTGTAATGGTGTAGCACTCATTAATGATACTTATCTTAATCAGTTATTGTAGTAAGGGCTGCAGATAGTGTTTGTCTAATTTTATCATTCCTTTTAATACTATCTTTCAATAAAGCTAACAAAAATGAGAGTTTTTTTCATGCTCCATTTAGTTGTTCCAGTCTTGTAGATTTTTATTTCGTTACATTTACAGTTACTGTTCTTTTTGATGCTCAAGATTGGGGAGAGGGGAATTTGCCTGTAGGTTTTTCTTTAAATTGATTCCTTTATCCTTTTGATATGATGTCATTTGTTTCTAGTGGTTCTGTGCTTCTGAGGCTTGCTTTGAATTCTGTGTTTCTCTCAGTTGTGGTCTGTTTCTTGAAAAATCATAAGATAGACTGTCCCCAGTGTGCTTTCCTACAATATAAATTTTTTTGTTGTTTTAACAGTTAGGGTCATACTGTGCACATTGTTCCTTGACTTGCTTTTTTCCATTTAGTGAGTTGAAGATCTTTTCAGATTGAATAGATCAAATTTTTCTTTTTTTTTTTGTCTTTTTGAGACAAGGTCTCACTATGCAGTTTAGGCTGTCCTTCAACTCAACTGTGTAGCCCAGGCTGCCCTCCAACTTGCAGCAGTCCTCCTGCCTCATCCTCCTGAGTGCTGGGATTACAGGCATGTGCCACCATGCCTGGCTTGAATAGATCAAATCTTATTTCTAGAAATGGATGCATCATTCTTTTTACTATTAATTAATGATTACTTCTGTTCATAATTGTGATGAACTATCCTTGTATATAATATTTGATATTAGTAATTTTGTAGTACAGGTACATGTCAAAGTACTGTATATATTTAAAATTTTGATAGAAACTGCCAAATTGTTTTTCAAATGCTGTGTACTAATTTATATACTCAAAACACTGGATATTGTTAATGTTGAATTTTTGACAGACTATATAATTATTGAAATGTTTGCATTGTTAATGATTGTTGTGTTTTTATAATTGATTTTTAGGTATCTTTATGTTAGAGATCTAGGACTTTGTCTCTTTAAGTCTTTTCTTTGACACTTGTTTTTGGTTGTGTGGATATTTTTCATTTTTATGTAGTCAAAGTTGTCACTCTTTCCTTTAAAACTTCTGTATTTTTAAAGTTAAAAAATATTAACTCAACAGATGTTTTCACATAATTGTTTTTGGTTATTGTGGGAAGAAGAAAGTAGTAGTTACGGTTCTCCTCTGCGTACACCCTTCCCCTCGTGGGCCATTAACTGGAACTATCCATTGGATCTGATTTGGAATGTATAGACATTCTTGTAAGTGTCTGTGTTTTTCTTTATTTCTTCTCTGTTGACATGTTTTGTTTCTTTGCCAGTACCTTAATGGTTTTATATATATTTTTTAATGGTGGCAAAGTTTTGCATTTATTAAAGAGAGGAAAAAACCAGCAGGATAAAGGAAAACAGGCTCTCCAGAGTAAGTCTTGGGCAGAATGAAAAGCAAGGAAAAAATGAAAATACAGCTTATAGAATAGGGAGGGCTGTCATGAGAGGCATGAGAGCCTATTTTAATATCTTTAGGTGCATGGTATATTGGCCATCAAACTCCTTAATTCTGTTATAAAGACATACAGAAAGTATACATGTGAAGGAGTTGGAGTAAATTAATGATTAATAAATAGACCTCCTGTAGAATATCAATTTTAATGTTGCTATATAAGATTTTGGGCCCACCATTGTAGAGTTTTTTCTTTTTGAAGAAGTCTGGAATTTGAATATTTATGTTGATCTTATCTAAAGATACTGACAACTCATATGTTATTACAGAATGTTGCTTTGACTGATAATGCATATTTGACTTCATGTAGTCTTCTTGATCTTTTTTTGTGGGGGTGGTACCAGAAATCAAACTCAGGACCTCATTCTTGCCAGGCAGGCACAGTGCCACTGAGCTAAATCCCCAGTCCCAGACTTCCTGATAGGCTGACCATTTTATTTCACAGGGCCAGTCATTTTCAGAAAGTTTCTTTACAATTCTGCCTTTATTAGACAGTCTATACCATCAGTTTGTTAAATTACTAGTAAAAAAGGTGTTCTGGGGGACCCTACTATAAAATGAAGTAATTTGGAGACAGCTTTATAGTATCATAGCTTTCCCTACAAAAACATGGTTTCTTTCCATTTGTTCAAACATAGTTTTATGTTCTTCAGAGTTTTAATTTTTTTCTCTTACTGTTACACATTTCTTCTTAAGGCATTTTATTTCTTTCTTCTTTGAAAACTTTAAAAAATCATTTACTGTTACTGCAAGTGTTCAATAAAATGTAGTCTTTAGTTATATAATGTTATTCTTAGGGAGTAATATTTGATAATGTATGTAATAGCATATTTGAATAGAAGTAGTCTTTTAAGTTAAAAAATTAAAGTGAAACAGACTTCACCTCTCCGTGTAGATTTGAATCTTTAGATTTCAATTTGTCACTGAAGCCTAATGAAAAGTTAGAAGCTATTTAATTATTTTTGTGGCACTGAGTATTGAATCCAGGGCTTTAACACTGAGTTTCATCCCCAGCTCTTTCTTATTTTTGTGACAGGGTCTCTAAGTTGCTAAGTTGTCCATGCTGGGCTTAAACTTGTGGTTCTCCTGCCCCAGCCTCCCAGGTGCTGGGATTGCAGGCTTGCACCATCATACCCACCTAAACAGCTTATTTTAAATAGGCATATTTTCAGGTGTGTTCAAGTGGTAACCTTGTAGAATGAACTCTTTCGTGTCATGTGTTTCAAATATGATTTAGGTACCATACTACTCTTCCAGAATCTCTTTGGATAGTGCTTAATCTTACTGCTTACCTGACTCTTCCAAAAATGTAAGGTCTTACCTGAAAGGTAATCTCTTAGAAAGTAACAGGGCTATGAAGAAAAGGTAGACTTCTGGTCTGCATATTGGTAAGTAGTTTTTATTAGATGGTATTAAGAGTCCATTTGTCTTAGAGGTTAATATTGTTTAACATGAGTAGAAGTGATGACTACATTAAGTTGATAACTTCTTTACTAACTCTGGACCACAGTAGTGTTGTCTCAGAATGAAACACTCATAACTGTTGTGAAAATATGTAAAGTCCAGATTTTATTATCATTGTAAGATTCTCTTTCCATATATTATTAGATAAGTTTTTGTGGTATTTGGGAAATTTAATCAATTACTAAATGACTATGTAATTTAATCCCTCTACCCCTCAAGATTTGAACTGGGCCTTGCACATGCTAGGTGAGTGCTCTACTGCTAGGCTAAATCCCCAGCCATTTTTATTTCTTGAAACAGGGCCTCACTCTGTTGCACAGGCTGAGCTTGAACTTACGATCCTCCTCCCTGTATCTCCTGAGTAACTGGGTTTACAGGAGCATGCCCTTGCAAATCACAGCTTTTTATGCATTCGTACAAAGTATAGAACTAACCAAGATTGAATTATACCTCTAGAAGTAATTCTGATAAATTGCTATTTTAAAAAATGAGAAGAATTGTCTAATGTAGAAAAATAAATTAACCTCAAAAAGAGTTGAGGCTGAATTGCTTACTGTTTATGGCTCTTTAAATGGGCAAGATAAGTAATAGCAAGTTAATAATTCTATGTGGTTTTTTGTTTTTTATAGGAAAACATCTTTTGCCTCTCCACCAGAATTAAGCTGATGATACTACAAAATATAGTTATCAAGTGATTTTACAAAACTCATGAATTTTCCTATAAGGAATGATTAGTTGATTTTTCAATTTTAATTTATAGTTTTGACATTAAGACTATTATTTTGAAGAATATTTTTAAAAAGTTTTATATTACAGAAAAGTTACAAAGATAACAGATTCTTCATTTGTCTTGCACCCACTTTCCTCATTATTAGTATCCTACCTTAGTATGGCACATTGATGACAATGAATCAGTATTGGTGCATTGTTGTTATTCAAGGGTCACATTTTGTATAGTTTCCTTAGTTTTTAACTAATTGTGTCATATTCTTTACCTCTAAATTTTGTATTTTGTAGTTGAATATAGTGTTTGGTTTTAACTAGAAAGTAAAGAAACTGAGGTTAGTGTCCTACAATAATACAGAAAGAATATGTGTGGCTCTTGTATACTACTGAAATGTAAAACACTGCCACATTTTTATTCCTCACCCTAATTTTGCATTTCATTTGTGTGACTCTTTGTTTGTTTTGTTTTTTAAGCTTAAGAGGAAATATTTCAGTAAAAGCAGTTAAAAAAGAAGTAGAAAAGAAACTCCGATGTCTACTTGCTGACTTACCACTGCCCCCTGAGCTACCTGGAGGAGATGATCTTTCTAAGAGTCCAGAGGAAAAGAAAACTGCAACACAGTTGCATAGTAAACGGAGGCCTAAGTATGTTCTTGCTTTCTACCTCCTCTTACATTTCTCTAGTAATGATTCTGGTTGTTAGTAGTTTTTTTTTTGTTGTTGTTGTTGTTTTTTTTAATTTTAAGTGAAAGTTATTTTAAGTGAAAGTTATTTATTCTTTGAACATATATATGAATAAATTACTAGTTTTGGAAAAATTTTTCATAACTGCTTACCTATCCACAATACCTAATAAAATCAAGTTTTCTTTCATGGTTTGTAATGTATTAATTCTTTGGGGTATTGTATGTGTTAAAGTTAATTCTTGTCATTAAGATAGCTAAGTAACACAAACACTGACACTGGACAAGGCGGGAGTCAGTACTTCATTGAATTCATACAAGATTAGAAATGGGTAAGCAGCTGTGTTTTCCTTTGCTTGTAATTATCACCATCTCCCTTCCCCCCATAACTGAATCCATTCATTTTTCAAGAGACAGAGTGGAATACACTCGAAATCTTGATTATTCTAAATTAGCTTCAGGCCAAGTGTACAGATTTACTTGAAGGGAAAGCAAGAGTAAAGACTTTTTGAGTTACATTTGATTTTAGACTTGCTATTCAGGTAGTGCTAATGTAAGAGTATGAGGTCATTTTCTTATATAAGGAGAAAAAAGAAAAATTTAAAAGTAGTCTTCTTTTAGTACTGTAGCTTTTTTCTTTTTGTTTTTCTTTCTGTATTTTTGAGACAGGATCTTGCTATGCAGTTCAGGCTGGCCTTGAGCTCACTTTGTAGCCCAGGCTGGTCTTGAATTCGCAATGATCCTCCTGCGTCAGCCTTCCAAGTGCTGGGATTATAGGTGTGTGCCACCATGCCCGACTGTTCTTTTTCTTGAATTTTTGGGATCTTCTCTAATACCATATTTCCTCAAAAAAAAAAACCCAAACAAACCACCAGATCTTACATTTATTTTTCTCCACAAGATGCAGTAGGTCTTATTTTCAGGGGATGTCTTTTTTTTTCCTTATATAATTAATCTATATTTATTCATGTATAGAAATATACATTGATTAATGTGCAGAAATCTACATTTATTCAAGTATAATTATGTTATCTTTGGAATATTGTCCTAATTCTCCAAACCCCAAATTCTGGCCTAAATTTTTCAGTTTTGTTTTTTGAGGCAGGTTCTCACTGTGTAGTTCAGAGGTGTTGAACTCTATGTAGCTTTGGCTAGCCTTAAATTTGGTAAAAGGTGAAAGATTTACGTGATCTGAAGAGAAACCAGAGTATAGCCTTAAATTTGGGATCCTCCTGCCTCAGTCTCCTGAGTGGTGGAATTACAAGTGTGTGCCACCAAACCTGACTTGGCCTGAATTTCTTGCTGCCTCATTTCCTGTAGAACCATTGGCTCCATTCTCGATCCCTCAGTAGCCCTGTCCTTAAATGAGCAGTTCTTGTCCATGTGGCCTGCTTGTAATGCATGGGCAACACAGTTGTCAGTGACTTTAGCCCATGAATTCTAAACTCAAGTCACAACATCTTGCAGGCTGGGCTTCACAAAATTTCCATTACATCAAGTGTTAATTGAAGATTCATGAGACAGGAGTGGGAACAGAAACGATGACATTTAAGGAAAATGGTCCACACAAAAGTGATGAAAAAGTTGCAGGTGCCAGAATTCAAAAAACATTTATTTCACCTGAGTGCATTACATACCTTTGTTACAACACACCACATACTGTATTCTGAAGATGCATAATAGACACAACTGCATCTGTTAGTTGTCAAGTGTGTATGTTATTTGTGCATTGTATCTGCACACCCTTTGAAAGGCAGTGTCTTGAGTTCATCTGTTTACATAGGCATTTACCTCTTGTGCAAAGGCTCCCACGTAGGTATTTATAGATTCTTAGTTACAATTTATATTGTGTATTAAGTAATTTATATTATTAATATATTAATTTAATAATATTTATATTATTTACATAATTATAATTTAATATGTCTATTGTGCATTACGAATGGACATAATAAGTGCTTTTATCTGGCTGATGATCTTAACTGGGGCTTATATTTTGGGGTTGGACTTATACTATGAGCATCCTGAAAAGTTACTCTGTTTTCTGGCTTATTTTCCAGTTGTCTTATTTTTTTGGAAGTGCGGTATGAAAATACCACAGAATCTTTTTTATGAATGTGTAATTTTTGTAATATCCATTTATTTATCTCTGCCTAAGTGTGGATTTCTGAAGAATTATATAATACATGTTTTATTCTCTTAGGATGAAAAATCTTTACAGTATTACTCATTTTTAAGATGATTTTGTCCAGCTATAAGTCATAATTTGTTTATATTTTGTAGATTTTATTAATACTCATTACCAAACTTTTGGTAATGATATGTATAGTGAGTGCAAAATAAAGCTCTGAAGGTTGCTTAGAGAACTTTTTTCAATATTGGGTTCATCTCACTGAAAAAGTTTCATTTTGTTTCTGAAAGCTCTTCATAGAAATACTACTTCTCTTTTCTGGTTTAAATACTACTCTATAGAAGAAGAGTCAGTATGTAGAAATCATATTTTTTATTGACAATATCAAATCAAAGTATAATTTGTCTTCGATGGTCACAGATGTACAAGGGTAGAGGAAAAGAAAAGAATATAAGATTGGGCTGGGGTAGATGCTGAATTATTAAACAGTTTACTCAATTTCCTTGATTGTATGTAAAAACTTCAGAACTATATTTAATAGAATATGTGGGCCTCGCTATGGTGAAATCAAAGAAAAAGATATTGACTGGGGAAAACGCTGCGTGGATAAATTTGATATCATTGGAATTATTGGAGAAGGTACTTACGGACAAGTTTACAAAGCCAGGGATAAAGACACTGGTAAGAATGCCAAGTTCTGGGGTTCTTTGGTCCTATGGTGTGTATGTAATTTCTGTCTCTTCTAATGTATAGCTTCAGGAATTTCTAAAAAGTAAAATTCAGATTTACTGTGATTTTGTGTATGTATACATAGATTTTAAGTGCTTTTCAGTATTTTTAATTTTTCTTTTATGGTGAGTAGTTTTTAAAACATTGGTAATGGGACAAAAATACTTTCATTTGAATTTATCTTAGTGATAAAATGTTTTGTATTAAGCTTACTTTCATTTTGATTAATTTTTTCAGTATTAACTCCACAGGGCAGGATTAATAACTTCATCTTTCACAATATAATCAGAAAGGTTTAAAAATTCTTAAAGGTTCTTGAAAGAGGAAGAAGCAGCTTGGTCAGGCTATGCATCTTACTAAATAACCATAGAGCTAGTATTTAATCTTTCTTTGCTTAAGTTCCTTGATAACATAAACCAACACATTAAAAAAGAGGCCAATTAAGATGGGGAGATGACCTTATAGTTAGAAACTATTGAAGGCATTATAGTATAGAACACTTATCAGTATTTATAATGATATATTATCCAAAAGATTAGATCATAACTTAAAAGCTTTTTAATAAAATAAGGAAACACATTGCATTATAGGATGTCATAAAATGAGTGAATACTAATGATGAAATGGATAAGTTCTTTTGTGATAGAGAATTTGTAAGAACAGCATTATTTTTTCTGAAAGAAATGTAATGAACATACCTTTATTATAGAGAATTTTTATACCAGTCAGTGCTCAAACCTCTGAAGTCTATGCAGATGTGCCAAACTTGAAAAAACTCCCCAAATTGTAAACATTTCAGATACGGGATTTGCAATCTATAATAAGCTTCGTGTAGTTTTTTTTTTGTTATTGTTTTTTTTTTTTTTTAATTTAGGTCTTATCTGATACCAAACTCACTCGTATCTTAAACTGTGTGTCAGTTTAATGTAGGGGGGAAAAACAAATACTTTAGAGACAGCTAAGCAGATTTTGAACTCCATTTTCATTACTATATAACTGGGCAGGTAATATGTTGGAACATATTTTCTTTTCTGTTCAGAGATTTTATGTATGAATATACTGGGTGTATTGACCCTTCTGTCTTACACTTTTTAAAAACTAAATGTCAATGTAAAAGACGTGATCTTTAGTGTCTTACATGTTTTTACTAAGTATGTACCAGTGGAGACCATAAAAAAACAATACATGCAGACCTATTTCCTTTCTTACAGTTGTATAGTGTTTTGGTGTTTGTACAGACATTTCATAATTTATCTGACAGACCTCATTTATTGAACTCAAAATATTATTTGGTATGTTAGAAACTATAATTTGTGAATTATAATGTTAAGATGTAGGAAATGAAGTTATGAATAAAAATAAATTTAAATTAGTAAAAAGTCATCTGCTTCTATGAGCTGGTTATCTGATTTTATTCAATTTTTTCATAGGAGAAATGGTAGCCTTAAAAAAAGTACGTCTGGATAATGAAAAGGAAGGCTTTCCAATTACAGCAATTAGAGAAATTAAAATTCTCCGGCAGCTTACCCACCAGAGTATTATCAATATGAAGGAAATAGTGACTGATAAAGAAGATGCTTTGGATTTTAAGAAGGACAAAGGTATGTATGGAGACTTAAACAACCATTTCTTTGTATTCACAATGTTTCCAGTTTGCAAATTTTGTTTAGAATGCTGACCATGTGAGTAATGTGGGTACACAAATCATTACCCTACTTTAAACTCTGTTTCTAAAGTCAGTACGGTTGAAGAATTTATATTGTTTACTGTTGTGGATTTTGAGTCCACTAGTCAAAGCATATTTACCAGTGTTTATATATGAGGTTTTCACAAGTAACATTTGCTTTTTTGAGCATTAATATATATAATATTTCATTTGTACTTTTTAGTTATTTGGAAAAATTTTATAGTACCGTTAAGACTATATTTATTCTACATTTTATAACTACCCTAAACATCCATGGATGTTTTGGTGGTATATCTGTTCTTAAAGTATGGAAGCAAAAAACAATCTTGAAATTGTGTTTAATAACTTTATTAATATATGGTTGGCTTTTAGCAAAAAAGCTGTCAAGAGATTAGCTTGATTAGTAAAATTGTCATAGGGCATGTGATGGTTGAAAGAAATGTTCTACTTTACTATGTTGTGCAGTAAGATTTTTTTTTAATTTTAAAAATAAAAGGAGGAAAATATTAACAGACAGACAACATTTTACAAAATAGCAAAGGAACAGTACAGACAGTACAGAGTTACAAACAAAATGGTAGGGAATTAACAATGCTTGTTGTATTACATATTGATATCTTCAAAGTGGTTTCTCATGAAAACAGACATAGACATGCAATGCTGATCAACCAAGGACTCATTGACAGTTTCTTTCAGCAAAGAAATATAAGACAGTAGAACAGCCATGTTGACTATCCTGCATATACATACATACAAACTTTCTCCTTCTTTCCCTTCTCTTTTCCCATATCCCAGTTACCCTTTACCTTTGAGTGCTTTCCTATCAATTCACAATGTCTACCATATCTCCTAGTTTAAATTAACTCTTTCAGGTTTTACACTAGTGAAACAATGTGGTGCTTGCACATGTATGTTTGATTTATTTCACTTATGAGTATGGTCTCTAGTTGTGACCATTTGCCTATAAAAGCCTCGAGTTTATCTTTCTTTACAGCTGAGTAATATTCCATTATATAAAAGTACCACAATTTTCTTATCCAATCCTCAGTGGATGGACATTTGGGTTGCTTCCACATTTTAGCAATTATAAATTGTGTTGCTATGAGCATAGGTGCACATACATCACTGTGATATGATGTTTTTAGATCTTCTGGGAAAATACCCAGGGATAGCTGGTTTGAATGGGACCTCTAGACCTATTTTTCTGAGGAATCTCCAAACTGATTTCCGCAGTGGTTTCACCAGTCTGCACTCTCACCAGCAGTGGAGAAGGGTTCCTATTTCTCCACAGCCTCGCCAGCATTTGTTATTGGTTGATTTCTTAATGCTAGCCATTCTTACTGGGGTAAGGCGGAATCTCAGTGTTGTTTTAATTTGCATTTCTCGAATGACTAATGATGTTGAACATTTTCTCATATATTTATTTGCCATTTGTATCTCCTTGTCTGAGAATTGTGTATTCATCTCCGCTGCCCATTTTTGGATTGGGTCTTTGAATTTGGAGGGGCTGATATTTTTTAATTCTTTGTATGTTCTAGATAGAAGCCCTTTGTCTGAGGGACAGTCAGCTAAAATTTTTTCCAAGTTTGTGGGTTTTCTTTTTACTTTGCTGGTGATTTCTTTAGATGTTCAGAAACTTTTCAGTAGGATGAGATCCCAGTTGTTGATTCTTTCAAGTGTTTCACGTGCAATTTGGTTTTTGTTCATGAACTTTCTGCCTACCCCTATGTCTTCAAGGTTTTTACCTACCTTCTCTTCCAATAGATTTAGTGTTTCTGGTTTGTTGTAGAGTAAGATTTTTAGAACCAAAATTGACTTGCTTTATAATCTGCTTTTTGAACAGCCAAATGCTTTTTTTCAAAGTACTTCTAATAAAAACAGATTAAAGTATGTCCTGATTGAAGTTATACTTAGCCATCACACACACATAGATACAGTCTTACTCTGGGAAATACAGTTAAAAATGATTGATATACTATACGGCAATTATTTTGCATGAATCAGTTTCTGTTTGAAAGTGTTCTTATACATTGTGGAGATCAGAATCTTGTTAATTGTTGTCACGTCTGTCAGTTTTTGTCCATAACAAAGCTTATATATTTTAGCTTGACATTTAACCTAGTTTGTCTTTTTAACCTTTTTTTTCCTGACTTCTTACTGTGTAATAAAAATTAGGGTACTTGTTTGAGTTAACATGTCTGGGATTTGAGACTTCGTTTGTTAGCAGTGTGCCCTTATTAAGGCGTTTAACTCTGCCCAGGACTGTTGTCCTTTCATCCATAAAAGGGAAACATTCTCTCTCTTACTGTGTGTAGTACAAATTGAATTAAGACCTTAAACATGAAGGTGGTGTGCAAGTGTTGCTTTCCATTAACCTCATGCTCTCGCCAAATTAGTACATTTGATTTTCCTCCAATGTGTGCTAGACTTCTTGCTTTTTTTGTTTTGTGAGATCATATTCCTACTTCTCTAATCCCATGATTGCCAATTTTGATTGTTTTCTAAGCTTCAGTCACTTTGGTCTTTAGGGCCAGGGAACTTTTATGCTAATGCTTCTTTCATGGCTTAAATTTCTTTGCCCCCAGTGCTTGCACATACACATGAGTTTTTGAAAGACTGACTTCTCACTCCCAGGTTCTTAGCCTGGATGTTGTTCCGTTTATTAGAGAGGCCTTACCTGGCCAGTGTTCCCATTTTCCACTGTGTGTAGACACACAGTTTCAGCTAACTTCCCAGAGATAATTACATTGGTTTTTTACCTGCTTTTCATTATGAAGGTGGAAACCAAGCCTGTTTTATTTTTGTTTTACTCTCTGCCTACCTGAGTGGCTGGACTGTACAAGCTATTGAATGACTATAATTGCTGAGTGAATAAATCAGCTGTTTATTATAACCTTGTATATGCCTTAACATTGTAAAATTACTACTACTACCTGTGAACACATAAAGTGTCTGTAGTCTTCCTTGTATTGTTACCATGTATTTTCATTACCAGATTATATATTCCCTAAAGCCTTTGTTTTTTGCTTTGTTTTGATTCCTTCACAGTGCCTAGCATTTTCTTTTCTCTTCTCTTCCCTTCTCTTTTCTTTTTTCCATTCTGTTCTGTTCTTTTGTGTTTTTGAGACAGGACTCGCTATGCAGTTCAGGCTGGTCTTGAACACACTAACTCCGCAATCCTCCTACCTCAGCCTCTCTAGTGCCAGGATCACAGCCATGCATCACTGTGCCTGACTGTGTTTTTCAAATCACAGATTAACGTGCTTTTGCACCCCACATCAGTTCTCTCCCTATCATAAACCTGTTTGTTATGTGAAACATGATAAGGCTCTCTTTTTACTCTGTGACAGGTTATATTTAGGTAATATTAGTTAAATGTAGGTAGTATTAGTTAAATGTGTTAGAGGATGTGAGGGCCAATTAAAGTTTAACACACAATTCATTGATTATTTTGATGAGGCAGCAATTGTGATTGTTATACTGGAGAAGAAAACAGTTCGAGACTTGTAGGCTAGTGTATAGATGAGTATATTAGAATTTGCAAGATATAAAAAAGTACAACTGTATAGCAAAGATAATATAAATATAAACATGTAAGATAACATAAATATAAATAAATATAAAATTATAAACAAAGAGCAATCAAGTACAAATATTAACTTGGAAGATGGAAACATTTTCCTTATTATAGTATAAGCCATTAGTTATATAAGAAAAACATCATTCAGTACTTTTTAGAAACCTCGCTCTGGGCTGGGGGTGAAGTGCTGGTGAGGATGTAGAGAAAAGAGAACCCTTACATTGTTGGAGGGGAGGTAAGTACCGTCATTATGGAAAACAGTATGGAGATTCCTTAGATAATTAAAAGTAGAACTACTACCTGGTGGGTACACATCAGAATGAAATGAAATAGCATGTTGAAGAGACATTTGCAGTCTCATTTATTGTAACACTAATCAAAATGGCTAAGAAATGGGAACAATTGTGCATTAGCTTGTGGGTGGATGAAGAAAATGTGGTACATATGTACAGCATATTCAGCAGTAAAATAGGATGAAATCTTGTCATTTATGACACTGTGGATGGAACTGGAGTACATTATGTTAAGTAAACTAGCCCGTCGTGGAAAGAGAAATACTGCCTGATCACATGCATGTGGAATTTTAAGAGTCGATCTCATAGAAGTTGACAGTAGAATAGGGACTGGCAAACATAGAGGAGAGGGATGGTTGGGAAAAGTTGGTGAATGGATATAGTTATTAGGAGAAATACATTGTGGTCTGCTGTGAGACAGTAGAGTGACTATAGAAAATAATGATACATGTTTCCAAAAAGCTAAAAGGTTTTTAATGTTGTAAAGAAATGATGAATATTTGAGGAAATAGTTATGCTTTCCATGATTTCAACATTATGCAGTGTATACATGTATAGAAATAGTATGTAGTACCCCATAAGTAGGCATGTTTTGTGCCAGTTTTTAAAATAATTTTAAAAAACAGGAGTGTGTGGTATACCAAATAATGAGTATGTTTGTTCTATTAAACCTTACAAATGTTGAAGAAGCCTTTTCTGAATTACTTGAGAATGAGTAAAAGATAAACTTATTTTAAATTTTTCCTCCTTATTCCTTCATCTCCAGGCAGCCCTCTTGTTTCTTTTTCTTTCTTTCTTTCTTTCTTT